AAGCTGAAAGCAGCACCTGTTATTTGTGCACAGAGAGCATATTCAGCAGGGAGAAAGGAGGGGAAAATATGAGTGATGCAATTGCTTTGGAAGCAGATGCTTTGTAAAATCCCTCAGGAAATTTTAAGAAGGAAAACCGTGATGATTTATTTCAAATAGAAACATTACACATAGATAAAGTACACAGTGGAAAAGTTTCTGTCAATCTGTTGACTATCTTTGTGTTTGTCGATGGACCTTTTGATTGTCACATAAGTACATGACAGCACAATGTGCTTCAACACTGCCAGTTTGTTATCCTGAAGCAGCTTATTTGATCATTTCTGTGTTCCGAATTTTGCTTTCTGTACTACAATAGGTGTCCCGCAATCTTTCAGTTCTCTCTGTGCAGACAGATCACCAGCCTCTGCTCTAAATCTTTTACTTTTTAAGTTGTCAGCTGTGGCTCATCTGATATGGTCCTGCTTCTGAATCATGCGGTTCAAGGTTCAAGTCCAGCTCAAGGCGAATAGGAAGAAAATCTAAGCTAGTAATAGTCAAAAGACTCATCAAAGTTTGCGAATCAGTTCTGTGCTTTCTTTTTTAATTTATAAATAACCATAACCCAAGGAAAGGAGAACAAAATGAGAAAGTAATTGGAGGATGTTTTAAGAAAATAAGTCAACCATTACTGAAAACATCACTATTGTAATTGGTGAGGGATGTACCTGAGTTCATAGTTCACTCTTTCTTAAAAGTGGCAAAAAATCAGCTGCTGATTTACTTGGTTAGTGTCTAAATACCATGTGTCCACTTTAGTTAGATCCAACAACTAAGCTAGATCAACAACAGCTTGTGTTTATATAGCTTTCTGGTTTCACAGAGGCATAATGAAGCTAAAACTGCGAGTGGACTAAAGGAAGAGACTTTTGGACAAGATTGGAAGAAAATGTAATTTTTAAAAAGTCTGTTCATTCAAAGCAGTCAAGAATGGTGGAGCAGCCCAGAAACTTTGAGAGGGAACTAAAATCCAGCCCTTGATGCTAGTGGAGCTGATATTTCAGTAGCTATACCAGCAACAGCGAGCAATGGGTCTGGGGCTTGGTCCTCTCGATCACACCCAATATGTTACTGCACTGTGGGAGGCCTCTAGCAACAAATGTAGTGCCTGGTTATTCAGTATTTAGATGTAAACCATGTACAATTTGTACCAATGGCTTGGATGAACACATAGAATGTATGGTTGCTAAGTTGGCTGAAAGTACATGGGTGAGAAGTTTGAAGAGGACATAAGGAATCTGCAAAATGATTTTAGATCAGTTAAATGAATAGGCAGACATTTGGCAGAAGGAGTACAGTGTGGGGAAAGTGCAAACTTGTCCACTTTGGCAGCAATTATAGAAAAGCAACATATTACTTAAATGGAGAGAGAATGCAGAATACTGAGATAGAGAGGGATCTGGGTATCCCTATTATGTGAATTACCCCAGGTTATAGTCAGGGATTAAGAAGTTAAATGGAATGTTGTTGATATTTGCTGCATATAAAAGTGATGGAATATAGAAGTAGAGACATTTAACTGTAACCGCACTATGGCATGCAATCCATGATCCTCACTAATGGATACACTACCGACCCAATGCGAATGCAAACTGGGGTCAAACAAGGCCGTGTCACTGCACCAATGCTCTTCATTACCTTCCGCACTGCAACAGTCCACTTTGTCCCCATGACAGCTTGTTGCTGGAGTGGAACTGCTCAGCAGGACATGCAGGAAACTATTCAGCCTGTATCACCCCCAGTCCAGAGTCAGGACCACCCTTGGTCAAACTGCTGCACACAAGACCACCCAAACTGGAGAGGACATCCACGCTGGTGTCCACCATGTTGAACAGGCCCAGATGGGAGGCCAAACACAGACACTGTAAAAAAACCTGAGCATCTCACCCACCCGCTTCAGCAACAACCACCAGCTGCCCAGCTTTGGGAGAGTGTGCTATACCAATATTGAACTATTCATCATCTTAGCACCCACAACTCCACAATGGAAGAAAGTCATCCTCAATCGTGATGGATTACCTAACAAGAAGATGATCATGTATGTCCGACACCACACCTGGAGTACTTTGTGCTGTCTTCATCTCCTTATTTAAGGAAATAGTACCAACTCCAAAAATGTTCCCTTGCCTGACATCTGGGACTTTTGGGGGTATGGTGCCTTCCTTCTGAGGAAAAGTTGGACAGACTGGGCCAGTATCTATTGGAATTTAGAAGAATGTGAGGCAATCATATTCAAACATACAAGATCCTGAGGGGACTTGACAGAGTAGATGCAGAAAGGATGTTTCCAGTTGCGGGAGAAACAAGAAATAGGGGTTTAAAAATAAGTGGCCTCCCATTTATGACAGAGATTAGGAGCATTTTTTTCTCTGTGGATGGTCAGCATTTGGAACTCCCTCCCCTGAGGAACTCATTGAATTTCTTTAGTGGGTGTTGATTAGTTGACAAGAGAGGGAGTTGAAGGGTACTGAGTGTCGGTAGGAAGGTGAAGTTGAAGCCATAATCAACTTCATGTTGACCTTATTAAACAGTGGAGTAGGATTGAGGATCTAATGACCTGTTATGGCTCTTAATTTGTTTGTTGAGACATGAGTCGTCCATTTAGCCCCTTGAGCCTGTTTCACCATTTTAGACTAATTTTGGCTCAGCTGCACCTTGCCTTTAATTGTGGGGAGATGACAGTGTAATGGTTGTGCCATTGGTTTAGTAACCCAGCAATGTTTCTCACCTCATTCTGGTTTTACACTTGTTTGAGAAGTTGCTCCTGAATTGCACAATAGATTTATTGGTGAACTGGAGGAGAGGTTGAGTGGGTTGAGAGATTGGAAGAATGAGAGACGACCTTATTGAAATCTTACAGGGCCTGACAGGATAGATGTGGAAAGTTTGTTTCCTCTTGAGGGAGAATCTAGGATCAGAGGGAATAAAGGATCACACATTTAGACAGAAGTAAGGAGGAATTTCTTCCTTCGGAGGGTAGTGAATCTGTGGACTTCTTTACCATAAAGGGACGTTATGGCTGGGTCATTAAGTTATTCAAGGCTAAGACAGACCGCTTTTTAATCAGTAAGGGAATTGAGGGTTATGGGAAAAAAGCAGGAAAATGGAGTTGAGGATTGTTAGATCAGCCAAGACCTCATTGAATAGCGGAGCAAACTCGATGGGCTGAATAGCCTACCTCAGCTTCTGTATGTTGTGGTCTTATGGTTTAATGCTCTGCGGAGAACGGTTCACATCCCACAATAATAACTTTTGGAATTTAAATTCAATGAATAAAATCTGGATTTGAGAGCTTAGTGATGGTGTCCATGACAACTATCACCAATTGTTTTTAAAAAAGTCCATCTGATTCACCTGTACCCTTTTAGGGAAAGCAATCTGCCATTCTTACCTGGAATGATGTACATGTGACTCCAGACCCACAGCAATGTGGTTGACTCTGAATTCCCCTCTGAAATGGCTTTAGCAAAGCATTCAATACAGGCTGGAAAAGGGATGAGAAATTGAAACTCTGACAAGTGAGTAGGTTACTCTATTCAGTGCAGCTCTTCTCAACAGGAGTGCCGGTGTTGGATTTGTACAGTGGGAGGCGGGGGTGCAGGAGAGTCACAGCAAGTAGATTGCCCTGCTCGTTCGCAAAACTTCAGTATTCTCACTGACAGTAGAACAAAGGTAACGGATCTCCTCCATTCAACACTTCCCCCGGTATCCCCTTCCCATCGTCACAAAGTGGATGTAGTATTGGCGCTAGCTAATGCCTCCCTGGTGACGTTGCTTAGTGGAGAAGAGCTGGTTGACTGCTTGTGGTAGGCAGCACGTACCCCACCCCCTCAAAACTTTCTGAAGCGGCTGATTCTGGGGCAAGAGCAGGTGCTGAAATGTTACGTGGCCAGTCATCTCCACGGGAGTCTCACAGACTCTCCGGTTGGTGTCCAACAATCACCTGCACGAGATTCCTTCCCCAGTGTGGACTTGTACAGCGTTGTACAGCAATATCCCTGCCCTCTCCATCTGCTTGAAAATGTGGCATCAGAAAATTTCCTCTCGCACTTTTAACCACTGAGTAGAGTCATGACAAGCCAGGAAACTGCCTCAGAGCTGAAGACATTCCAGCTTTTGTTAATTAGAGAATCCTCACAGTATTCAAGCAGGTCATTTGGCCCATCAAGTCCACACCGACCCGCCAAACAGCAATCCCTCCCAGGCCCAACCCATCCCTGCAACCCCGCACTCTCCATGGCTAACCCAGCTAGCCTGCACATCCCTGCACACTATGTATAATTTAACATGGCCAATCCACCCTAACCTGCACATCTTTGTGACTGTGGGAGGGAACCGGAGCACCTGGCTCAGACCCATGCCGACGCGGGGAGAATGTGCAAACTCTGCACACAGTCACCTGCTGCCATAATACTTGCTGCCATTGTGAGGGAAAAATATATATCATTTTAGGTATCTGTAGCTGCAGTCTAAATTGTTTGTTTAAAACTCGTGTTTTAAATCATTCACAGGTTTTACAACAACCTTGACTTTCCCGTTCCTATCCCAGGGAAAGGCTCAGAATTGCCAGCATAGGCATGGTGGGCCAAGTGGCGGCCTCCTGCTCTGCAATGACAAGCCTGTTTGAAGAGGCAGTCTGATTGATGCAGCCCACCATATTCAGGCCATTTGGGGCCTGGAGCTGTGGATTGTGCCAGTCGCTGCCATTGGAGATCACAGAACAGGGAATGTTAGACCAGGCACTGTACAGGGTCAAATTGAATTGCTGCAAGAGAAATCAGACAGGGATTGTCCACCCAGTGGTGGGGGGGTGGGGGTTGGGGTGTTGTTTAGGGGTAGGTGTCTGATCTGACATGAGGGTTGCAGTCACTGTACCCCCACTCTATTCCCTAAAATATTGTTAAACTATCAACCATTGTCTATGGCTGTAGGCACTTAATTGGTTTCTCTTCACCTTTCAGTGTCACTGACTGACGTCGCTCCACTGCTGCTGAGGCAACATGGCGAAGTTGCAAATGCTTTCGGCAACCAGTGAAGCCGGTTACCACGGCTACGAGGCATACCCTGCATTCTCCCCCCTACCCACTGAGCCAGGCTACGCCCAGGCTGCGATGGGGAGTGTTGGCAGCGGCGTTGCGAATGAGCAGGAGTTTGCGATGAAAAGTGTGAACAGCAACAAGCGAGGAGGCCCCGGCCAGATGGCCAGCCGGCAGCACGAGGGACTGAGGAACGGCTACGTTTCCCGGGAATTCCCCAAGCGCTTCTCGGCCGACGACAAGGACTACAAGCCCGAGAAGGTGTCTAATTCCTTGTACATTAATGGCAAGCATCGCACGGGCGACCGAACGAAAACAGACGTGGCCAATAACAACGAGAGGAACCTGCCTCCCCAGTACAAAGAGCCAAGCAATCCGCCAAAGATACTGCCCATATCTGGCAAACTAGAACAGGTAACAAAGCAGGGTGGGACCTGACTAACACCAGCAAGAGCAGCCTAACACAGCGGCTGTGACAAAAAGAAGCTAAAGTCCTTCGGAACAGACACTCTGCCACACCCTCCACCATCCTCCCCCCTCAAAATGAGCCGTCAGTCCTCTCAAGGACTTCTTTGTTTAGCACACTTTTCCAAGCCCGAAGCGGGAATAGTGTGGCCGCACTCACTCAAAACTCCTTTTAATGTTGTTTAATTATTTCTGATCGAGCGCAACCACGTAATGATTGTGAATCCTTAACGATGAAATGATTTCTCAGGACTTTGTGTCAACCGTGAAGTGTGAACTTGGAGTCATATTTAGGTCAGATCACCTCTGAACTGATAGGTTCCCGCAGCATTCCATCCCATTCATGATTTTTTAAATACTTTTAGCTTATTCTTGTCAGTTTTATTGAACTCGATTTCGTAACCGGGATACTAAATATATATATATATATATATATAACATTCCGGTCTTAGTCCCAAAACCATGAGCACTGTACTGCTAAAGAGCAACAACAGGTTACACTTGCCTGGTATTTTTGAACCTCTCATGGGTCATCGATGTATTACCTGTCAGAATTTGACACTGAGCCAATTGATATCTGGACGAAGTGGGTTATCTTACCAGGAAAAGTTGGACAGTCTGGACTTGTTATCGCTGGAGTTTAGAAGACTGAGGGGTGGACTTGATTGAAGAGTATAAGATCCTAAACGGTCTCGACAAGATGGACTTAAAAACAATGATTCCTCTTGTGGGTGACTCCTAAATTTGGGGACAGTGTTGTAAAATTAAAACAAAAATAAAATTGAGGACAGAGACAAGGAGAATTTTTTTTTCTCTGTGAGGCTAGTGAAACTTTGGGATTCTCTGTCAGTGAAGGTGGTTGAGGCAGGGTATTCTCAATGTGAAGGTGAGACTGCGCAGTGGTCACTCTCTCTGATACTGTCATAGACAGATATCAATCTGCCAGCTGTAGGTGTAAACATGAGATCAAGTATATTTTTCCCCCTTGTTGCTAGACCCAGTCTACCAGGTATGTCCTTTAGTACATGGATGTAGCGGTTCAAGAAAGCAGCTCAATATCACCTTCTCAAGGACAATTAGGGATCGGCAAGAAACGCTGGCCCAGCCAGAGAAAGTTACATCCCACGAAGGAATTTAACAAAAAAGGACTCAAGTGATTGTCAGCCATGGTGCTGCTGAGCCACACTTCGTGATGGATATTGCAGTCCCCCAGCCCAAATACATTCTATACTTTACCAGCCGCAGTGCTTCCTCCTAGTGATGCTCAACATGAAGGGCCATACTGACATCAGCTGGGGTGAGGGTGCAGGAGGTACATGGCAACCAACAGGAATTTTCCTTGCTCATGTTTGACCTGATGTCATAAGATTTCAATATTGAGGACTCCCAGGCAAGTGCCTCCAGACTGTACACTGCTGTGCTGCCACCTCTACTGGCTATATCCTGCCGGTGGGACAGGACATATCCAGGAGTGGCGATGGTGGTGTCTGGGACATTGCCCGAACTGGGAATTTATCATCTCTGTCCAACATGGGAAAGAGCTGCTGTTTCGCTTGCTGAATCCACCTATTACAATGCACTTGAGGTCAAATATTTATTCAGTAATTTATCTTCTAGAACATATATAGTCATTTGTGCAAAGCTTAAGCATGTTTGTTTTTTGCTGTTAGCCACTCATTGAGATTCAGCTGGAAGCAAAGAGAAGTCAGAGGAATTGGCAAGAATCCTTCAATAGTCACATGACCAGGAATGGAATCTTAACTAAGGCACCAAATACGAGATGTACATGAACCCATCATCCACCTTTTCTTGGATCAGGAGCCATATTCACTATGGCTCATTCCTGAATGCCAACTTTAGTTCAATTCAGAAGTACGGACAACTCAACAACAACTTGCGTTTGTATAGCCAAGGCTACATGCCAAGGCTTTTTCATGGGTGTGGGATGAGACAGAATTTGACAAACAGCCAAAGAGAGCGAGAAGTGGCCAAAAGCTAGGTCAGAGGTAGGATTGTCGGATGGAGCAGAGAGCAGAGAGGAGAGAGCTTCCCAGAGCTAAGTGACCCTTGGCAGCTAAAGGTCCCCTTGGCATCAGTTGGGTGAAGGCTGTCAGGGGCACAAGACCAGGCCAAGAGGAATTTGGAGCTCTTGGAGGGTTTTAAGGCTGGAGGAAATTCGAGATGGGGAAGGATTTGAACACGAGGGTGCACATTTTAAAGTTGAGATGTTCAATGACTGGGAGCCAATACAGGTCAATGCATATCCAAAAAATACAAAATAGATATCTAATCCTATTCTGGATTAGTTTCTTTCTTTGGCTAAATGTTTCCATGCTTCCAATAGTTTGGGTGTCACAAGTGTGTTGTCTGCTCTTGTATCTCAAATGAACCAAATATCCTCTGAAATCCTTTCTCAAAAATGTATTCACCAACCCAGCATCAGCTGTAACATTTGGAAGTTTGTTGCATATGTTCCTACATCAGTCAAAGCTCAAAATCACATCTGAACTCCTGCTCGATGCTGGTTCATGTGTTATCCACACATAATATCCTCTAATTGTCAGCCTAAGGTTCAAGTTAAGTCATGTGTAGGAATCTTGCTTCTTAAAAGTTGTGAAGTATGACCACATCTGCTATGAATAGAGACTGGATTTCACAACTTACAGCTCTAAATGCTGAATGATACAGGAACAGTGCTAGTGTTTCAGCTGTCCATGGTCCTTTTATGATTTCCTTTGAAACCTTTAATGTTGGTGCCTGGAGGAGAAGTGAGCTCTATCAATGCTGCACCACGACAGTTTAAAACAAGTCTGCATTGAGAGCAAATTGTGTTCGTTCGGCTCAAAGATTGAACTGAGAAGTGACTTCCTGTAATCTGATCTGGGTCAAAATATGATCCTTTGCTTGACTCCACTTCCTCTGATTTTACATTATTTTCAAGCGCTGGTGTTGGAAGGAACTGTCTGCCTTTAGCCACCAGAGTTCTTTATTCTAGATTTTATTGAATTCAAATTTTGCCTGCCACAGTGGTACTTGAACCCATGTCCCCAGAACATTAACTTGGGGATCTAGATTACTATATGTTCAGTTAGTTTGCCAGTATGCCAATGCCTCTCCTTTTGCTGCTTCCAAGTTGCTTGCTGGGCTGTCTGAGAGGGGACCTGGAGCCATTTACACACACATGGGTAAGGATGGCACTATTCCTTTCCAAATTGACATTAGTGGAGCACTTGAGTTTTTAACAACAATTCCATATTCTCTGCAGAAAGGAAGAATGAGGCCTTTTTTCATGCTTTCTTAACGAAATTTAGTAGGATGTGGATGAAGTAGAATTGGAAGCCAGTTAAAGGTTCATCATTACTGTCATATTACAGTGTTTGCGCTTCACAGAGTTAGGTTGCAGATAAGCCATGATCGCATTGAATGGTAGAACAGGCTTAAGGTGCTGAATGGCCCACACCTGTTCCTATTCAAGATTAAAATATTAATCTCCTGGCCACTGCTACAAGCAGCCCATGGGAAAAATCATAGCTGTATTAAAAATGTTCTTCCTCTTCCTTTCTCAAATATAAAAACCATTTTATTGGTTTTATTAATATTGGAGATGGAATAAAAAGCTTGTTTGTCCTGCTGGGAGATCATATGATGCATGGTCCTGGAATGCATGTATGGGAAGTTGGGAGTAATAATGGACCATACATTTTCCCAGCTTCCCTGTAAGGATGCTGAACAAACTCCTCCCAAAAGCTACACAAAGGGCTGTGCTAATTTAGCTGTTTTATTATTAGACAATAAAAGTACACAACCCACATTATGTATGGAATGCAGCAATTGCAATATTATCTCGCCAGACAAGTTTGACAGCATCTATAGAATACTTTGCAGTATTTATTAATTGCTGATATGCCAGTGCATGCAAATTGGCCAATGGTTCAATGTTTGCAGATTGATTTACAGTCTGACGTGGCGGTTGATCTAACCACTGGAATCGGAGGCTCGTTCCTATGGTAATCATAGTGACGATAATGCCTCTGACTCCCAAGAAACAATATAGTGGATTGCCGAAAACAAAGAATAGCTCTGGAGTTCCTGTAGAACATTGATGATGCCATCACTAGGAATAGTCGTAAAATTGAAAGCAGAGACAGCGACTAAAACCACAGCTGTCAAATGTCCTTCAGTTTACCCTGTACAGGGAACAGACTCACTTGTAGGGTGCAACTGAGGAGATCAGATGAAATAATTCAATGTACAAACTGATGTGTCTCTTCCTCTCTTTCCTCCCTTATAAACCTTCTTGCTCCAAGCTTTCAGTCATCTGGCACTATGCAACTCAGTGTCAGACTTTGTTTGATGACTTTTTAGGGTTTTGCTGTATTAAAGGTGCTATATAAGTGTAAGTTGTTTTTTTGTGTTGTTTGCACACTGGGGCAATTGCATCAAAATATTTCCTTATTTTTATTTGCTCTGTCAAGTGAGATATACTTTGTTGGGTGTGAGAGCGAGCCAGTGATAGAAAAAACAGGAATAGATTAGCAACGCAGAGGTAGCAGAAGATCTTATAAATTAACCTCTTTGTGTGGTAAATGATAGATGGGCTGCAAAGCTGCCTGGAATACCCCATCCAATTTTTATACCCCACCCAGCCATGCTCACACTTATAGTCAATGAACAGTCTCATTGTGCAAGGTGTAAGACAGACATTCCACACAAACTTGTGGGTTTCCCACCCAGCATGTACGCTTGAAGTTAATCCCATATGTTTCTGGCAGTCTGAAAGCTGCCTACTATGTGTAGGGAAGTAACTGCAGAGCTGATAAATTCAGCAGCGAGCTTAACAACAAGAGTCCATCACCGTTCGAAATGAAGCAGATCTTTGGACGACTTCCAGGTTCGTGTTAAACGAAATGACTTTAATTCTCACAAACCAATATGCAGTGTAATTAATT